AATTGTCAACTCATCCGTGTTGGCAAATTCTACAATTCATTGTCACACTTTTCATTTTCTAAGTTCCTACTTTACCACATATGCTTATACCACATGTACTAATTCCCACAGATCTCAATAAAACTGCTTTAAAGTGTAACATAAACAAGTCCTTCAGAAATTAACAAGAACAAATCCTCATTGAGTTTCCCACATCAATCAAACACTACAGTATCACAATCCAATAAAGGTTTTTATTAAAAACAATAATACAAAGCGTTATAGCTCTCAGGCCAAAATAACAAGACCCTTGTCGGCTTCTTGGGTCTATATGGCCTGTATGAGGGCAATTTGAGCGGTTATGGGCATTTATAGTTAAGTTACACAACCAAATAGGGCTACTAAGGATATATTTTGAGTAAACATACTTGAGCATTGTTTAAACAATACGCCGCTCGAACGATGTTGATATTTGACCTTATTCGGTAATTTTAGCATGTAAGAATAATATCTTTATACGTATAACAAATAGAATGACTGTTTGCTTGGTAACAAATCTAATGTTTTTTTTGCAACTTAGTGTTATTTTACTATTTAGCATAACCAGACGGTACAAGAATATTCAACTTTCTGTAAATTTTTATGTATATAATTTCAGGTCTCTTACCATGTTTATATAATTATTTTTTTATTTCTCTTATCTAAGGCCACAAATCACAGCTATCGAATTTCTAGTACCGTGAGAATATTCAAAGATTTCACATTTTATAAACTAAATTTAGTGTATAAAATATCACACTTTCGGTTATTCACAGAGATAACATCGAGTTTTAGGATAAAAATAATCCTTAATCTTCTTTATTAACATAAAATAATGCTATTCTTAATTATTATAAATATTTTTAAAACGTTTCACGCGCAAAAGGGTAATTATAGAGCTTTGACCTGATAAAAATAATCCGTTTTTTTGTACGGATTAGCAAAATAACTTGAATTTCCAAATAAGGAAAGTAACTCTTTCTCTCGGTTTCCCATCACTTCATGTTAGATTATTCTTGTTGAATACCAATGATTAATAGTAAATAAAATATTTTGAAATTGTTCTAATTTCAAAACGCAACACTCAAAATATATTAAACCTTATTGTATTACGACTATCAAGTACGTCGGCATAATTTGCTTTCTCAAACCAAAAACTGCTTTTGATTTATTCATAAAAGTATCAAAACGATTAGATCCCTCGTGGGAGGGTGACGTTCGTTCACAATCACAATGCGCTCGTGCTTTGTTGTATGAATTGCGTTTTTTGAGTGAAATCGATCACGACGTGTCCGCCTCGAGGGCTGGCTAATATTATACTGTATTTATTTACACATTGTTACTTTAAAATTGCTTTTGAAATCTCTATACATATGCAGTCGGTCTCCGAAGCCGATTTATGGGTGAGCACCGAATGATGTTTAAGTAGTTTGGAACAGAAAAAGATCCTTAATTTTTTCTTAGGTTTTATTAAGCAAACAAAATGTCATTGAAAATGTTTTGTGGTTAATACGTAAGGGTAAGTATCGTTATAAAATGTAAGAACGCAAATCGTCAGAAATAAGACCGAGACATTTTTGACCCTCGTTCGCACAACATAACACCTAATTTATTACACCATTAAATTATGTTAGATTTACACTCATAAAATACATATGTTTATGTATACGCATACATAATTGCTAAATTATTCTGGTCCGTTGAATAAACTGTAGTGTTTAAACAGCGAGACTTTACAATCCGGGTATCAATTTTATGTGTCAACAACTAATGTCAAAATTTGAATATCTATCTTCATTTTCTATTCATGGTTTCACTAAAAACATGATTTAGCAAATGTTTTTGATTAATTAGGAGTATCTATTGCTTATGGAATGTTGGTCTGTAAGGGCATGGAATCTGTAGCGAATGTGTAAGTGAGTCGTGTATAAATATGTATGAAGAGGCGGGAGCAGACCCTTGACAATGCTACCGCCATTCCCGTATTGTGCCCCCGTCATTATGCCTTCAACGTCTGAAGTAGCAGGCACTCCCATTCGCTCCTTTGTCGCTCCTTCCGAATAATTAGAGCAAACAACATTGTTGCTCCGATGCTCAGAGTCGGCAATAAAGTATACATTTCAATGTAAAAAATGTGGAGAGCCCTCAGCGAAGGGTCGCTTTGACAGTTAATTTTTGTCATTGTTGCGTTCCGCGTGATGTTTGTGCTTTTGCTGTACGAATGCCGAATGTAGGTAAGTACTGCGGACCGGGATCGCGTGAGGGTTAACGTTTATTGTTTTCGTCGGGGCTGTGAGAGTCGTGAGAATTGTTACTTAGTACTGTTTGACATTTAAACTTTACATCTTGTTAAATCAGCGATAAAACGGCTCCTATTTTTGCAGGTACACCTGGATATTGGAAACGCTACCATTGTTCAACTGTGAGGTAACACTTTATCGCCAGTCTCGATACAAAATCTCTGTACATTTCATTTTTGTGCCACTGTCTACCGCTTACTTATGTAATGCAACTAATTGAATAACCTTACAATTCATAATCTACTTCTCTTTTGTTATTTTATCTAATAACTTTCCCGGTTATCTTACAGTCCATTAAGAAACCTCTACTGTCTACTCTACCTCTTTGTATTTTATTAGTACCTATGTAAGTATCTACTGGCATTCTAAATACATAATATTTTATTTCGTTCTATATTCTAAATATACACAATAGTTTACAAATCACTCTAATTTGCTCTGACATTAAAATGGCATTTCAATCATAACATAATTATGAATTTTTAATTATTTAATTTGAACACCTGTTCGAATTAAAATTAATTTGAAATTAATAAAGAATATGAACAATAAATATCTATTATTATAATTATAACAATGCATTAGCACCTGTTTTTTTATTAAAACTTATAAAAGATATAAATGTAGAGTACTACAAAAAGCACCAATTAATGAAATCGAAAAACAGAATCGCATTAATCGTTCCCCAACACTAATGTAACGTTATTTAACCGTTTAGAGACGGTATCACAATCGTAGTAACTCATCTGAGACAATCGTATTGGCTTTTATGACGCATTACAAGTCGGGGTGCCCCCTTTGGATATCTGTCACCAAGATACCGTCACATCCCGGGGTAGACTATCGAGGGACAACGCAGATTAACTACCTAGGGACCGATTTAGATATTTGACTAAAGGTATTTTATGTTACCGAAAAAATAATATTTTTTTTATATTTGATGGCTCGACGTTTGGGCACTATCTCGCCTCGTGGTGAGCGATGATGTAGCCTACGATGAAGCACGTCTGCCCATTAGCAACCTATTCACTTGGGCCTTGAAGACACCCACGTTATACATATATACCCTTCAGGGAACACAGACTCTAGAAAAGAATATTACTTCTTAGCAGTACGCACAAGGAATCGTGATGCGAAGCGCTTCATGCGTGCGGGACATCTACTACGAATCGGAGACATTTCGCCGATTTGTCTTGTAAATGATACCAAAATAGACTACTTAGGCTGGCACGGTAAAGAAGTAAATTGGTATCAAGTCTCATAATGTAATTATAGCTACCTAGCATAAAGGTTATCAGATCTGTTTACAGCTTAATTTTTTATTCTACAAGCCCAAAAACCCAACCCAACACCTGGTATGGTGGTAGGTATATAGTGGTACGATGGTACACACCACCATAAAGTAAAAAAATCATCCCACAACGCTTTATAAGCCTGGTTTGACCCTTAAATTCCTATCACTGCGATATCGTTTTATCCCAAGGGAGGGCATCGCAAGGGACACCCCAGATTAACTGACTAGGGACCGATTTATTTCAGTATATTAGAGGTATTTTATTATGGTTATAGACGATTTGATTCTTAATTTGAATTTTTGGGGGAGTTGTTTACAGATGAAGGGGTGTTTTAGAAGGGAGAGTGTTAAAACTCAGTAGTGCAAATAGACTCCAACCTTGCTTTTAATTGGGAAATTGCGCATATCTTGTCTTCTAGAGTAGGTACCTATTTTAATATATGTATGTAGTTTGCAATAACTAACAAGTCAAAGTTCGTTTTATTACAAAATTATGTTTATTAAATACAACAGACACGAGATAATTATTATATCAATCAAGTGTTCAACCAATTAATAAACATTTTACCTATACAGTTGACAGTGTCGCTAGTTTTTTTTGCTAATAAACTATTTCACTGATATCTTGTTTAAGGTTTTCACCGAAGGGATAGGCAGAAGTGCACATTACGATACTTAATGCCACTGTACTATGCAACACCCACTTTTCAGTATTTATGTTATGAGTCCCATGTAATAGAGGTTGAGCCTATTGCCATATCCCGGACACAATTCCATTCTCCGTGCTACTAATAAGATTTTTTTTAAAAACCCAGTAATATAAATTCGCCCGACCCAGGAATCGAATCTGAGACCCCTTGCCCGGCAGTCGCACTTTCAAATACACGGCCAATGAGGTAGTCAGTTTTAGGTTTTATTAGTTCCAATTTTGTCCACTGACACCAATAAGTTACTGTCGGTGAAACAATAAATCTTGTATTTTAATGATATTATTTTTAAAATACTTGTTTTTTAACACTTTCCTTTTATGGAATCCGATATATTTGCCATTCAGAACTAGTCGATCAATCGAGCCTATTAAAGTTGTTTTAATTTTAGAATTAATTCTATACGCGTGTGACCAACTCAAGAAGAAGATTTTTTTTTTTTACATATGTGTTTAATTAATTACTTATAGTTTTTTTTTACAAAAAAATATTGCTTATGAATTTTGTTTTTTAATAGAAAAGTATTTGTTATTAGAACATGCTGCTATCTACTTTGTTTGTTTAATGACTTGGGTAATATCGGGATACATAAAGGAGTTTTCTTGCGATATTTTAAAATTACATACAGGATGTCCCTATATATCCGTGGATACAATTATTTAGATATAAAGATGTACTTACATTATGTAGTTTGTAATAAAGGCCGCACGCGTTGCACACTGGTTCGCCATTTTGGTTGCGTCGCCATAGCGTCGTAGTCGTCGTCTTGCAGTTCGCACAGGAGGTGCCTGCCCTTCGTGCTGCACTTTGTAGCGACTGTAACAAACGTATATACAGATTAATATTATTGTATAGTTGTACTTGGGCGTATAAAAGCGATGCTGAGATTGTGCTCTTACGTGTCGATTCAGCCCAAAGCGGATAGTCATTATATTAAGACAGATCATAGAGTAATGGATGAAATAAAATACAGCAATCTTTGTAAGTTTCATAAACAATGATGTTAAATTTTCATCAATTTATATTTACAGCGTGTGGGGTGTAAGACAGCTGAAAACCTCAAACGTCAGTTTATGCATGAACATGGGCACCAAATAGTGTTTTATAATTTTATTGTATTACTGTTGTTATTGATTGTACCTGTTCAAGAACTTATTGTCCAGTAAAGTGACAGTAATACGTTTATTATTAAAAGGACCATTTTTTCAAAGGGCAATCTCGTAATAAAGATAATAAAAGAACACGCGAATGAAATAGTTGAATGCGAAGCTCAAACTCCCACAGATGTAAACAATTTATGATTACTTACGTCGAGTTTATAAAAGGACGCAATACGAAACGACATTTCAATGTTTACTGAAACGTGGATGTAGGTCCACATACAAATTAATTAATTATTAAACCACAAAACCAATAACTCTGGGGCTAAAGTGATAAAAAAACGCGTGCCTCTAAATATTATTACCGAAAACATTATAGAGTCAAAATTTACTGCCCTATTAATGTGGGTACATTAAAACAATCAACATAAAATACGGACAGTTGACTCGCAAAACGACGCGACCGACAAAAAGTGAATATTCGAATATCGAACCGAAAAAGCGAGGTAGCTATCGGCGAGCTCTCTTACGCACCTGCCCATTACTACCCGTCAATCAGACAAAAAATATCAACGGCATGCGGTGGCCGTTTTATACAGTCCACAAAAGTGCCTCACTCAATTAAAAATGCATTCGTCCTAAACCGACACCAAAATAAAAAGAGCCGGCGCAATCCCACTCATAATAAATCCATTAATTTGTCATGTCATTTATCGAATAAAAAGTATTGAGGTCGTAAAACATTACGAGAGGCGAACTATTCGGGACACCGGCTCAAGTTCTCGGTAACTAGAATCGAATACTACCAAAGATTATCGTGACCGCACCGTCGTATTGTCCGATTTAATATCGTAAGTGACTGTGTCGGTCTCATACAGAGGTACTGTCGAACACAAAAGTCTTACATTTCCATAGAATAAAAATCGACACTACCTACTACTGCGCAATATTAAATCAGTGCAGCGTATATACTTTAATCCACTAAATATTACTATTATCATTTATATTCAATGATAAAACATTAAGTCATTTTATCAACTTCCAACACAACTTTGATTTTATGATACCACTATCTTTGTACTGGCCTTCACGGAATTTTAAATATTACATTTAATCTTGTAACATAAAGAACCTATTTGTAAATCATGTTCAAGTTACAAATGTAATGTATGTGATTAAATTTGTTATCATACCAGATCGATATCAATTTAAAAACATGACCGTCTTTAATTTAACTTTGTGTTCTTAGAAGTAACGTCAAATTTTCTTTTTATCTAAATAACCTTGAAAATTTTAATGTCAATTTTCCTTTTATTGTAAACAAAAGGAATATTATCAAGAAATTAACTATTCTATTATTTTACATTATAAATAACGCTTTTGAAAATAGAACGTCTCAAAGTTTATGTTTAACCATGAACAACCGTTCGACTTGCCAGTACTTCTGCATATTGGAATACCTAAATATTAAATGGTTCGCGTCAATATTCGCTGCGTCATGGCAGCTCCTTTGTGCCTGTATGAGATTAGAGTTGGCCATATTAGCCGAGCCTATAACATACACTTTTTCTTCTCATTGTAGAATTCAACTTCCATTTTGTGTCATACGAGCTTCAGACTTTTTGTTTTTGTGCCTTTTTATGTATTTATGTCGTATTGAGAGATGTTTTAAATAAATATAAATGTCGGACTGACAGATATGCTGTCTAAGATGGATGCTGGTATGAATATAAATATCTTGCAAGTAAAAGGACTCAAGTTATACAAACTTAAAGTTCCAGATAAGTATAGATACTATAATAAATAAATAAATAAAAAATAAAATAAATTAAATAGAACATTAACCGGTCTAAATTTTAATGTCCAAACAAATATAGGTCTAGCGATATAAATCCACAACACATATCCGCTTAATATCAAAATTAACTGCACTAGTTTACAACTCAATTACCAGAATCCGATTATATTAAGCGAGATAAGAGTTCCCATCAAGTTATAACTGTTGGTGCATCACGCGTGATCCCATGGGAGAAGGGGCTAAATCAGAGGGGTTGACTGGTAAGCCGATTACAGAAGTCAACCCATAGCCAACCGACTTCTCCACCCCCGGTTTTATTTCAGTGGAAAAACGGCTGTTTACTCGTAATTTTATGGACGAATTACTTTCTCTCCTCAAACGCTGAAATGGCTGGAAAACTCGTAAATTTTACGAGTCGGATTATTTTTTATTTGGGTCATTTTTTATTACGCGGACCTTGCCAGCCTAACGCCGTATTCAGATGACCCAGTATAAAATGTGCCTTTATTTATTGTAGACTATAAAACGTATTGTTTTTTTGATAAAAATAATGTCTATCAAATTCCTAGACGGTACGTTATTGATCACCAGTACCTAAGGATTGTTTCTCAGACTCGTTTAAAGAACGATGCGGCTGTATAAAATATAAAGAATCCCAAGCATTCGAGCACTTGTCCTCCACCTCAGAGAGGTTTATTAATTGTTGAACCCATTTCACTGTCAACGACATTCCTCTCGGATCGATATCTTACATACACGCCAAAAAAATAACAAACAAATGCCGACAAAGATAAATACGATCACAAACAGAGTGTATTGTTGTTGGCCACTTTAATTTCCACTGTAGTGTAAACTTAAGAGCTGCGACAACTGACGACTACATTGTGAACGTGACGGGAACAAAAACATCGCCTTTGTGCTCTTACAAGCGGCTTTACAGCATAAAGAAGCACGCTGACCGTATCAAGTGGACACTGCACAATAGCACTTATCTGCCTAATTTCAAGAATAATTCGTATTTTACCGAGCTTCAGAAACAGCTGCCTTAAATTCCAAACAAAATTCCTGTAGCTAGAAAGTGATAACATCACGTATTAAATATCTAAATCATATTACCGAACCATTGAACCTCTAGTTAATTATGAACAGCGACACATCAAACGGATTACTCCCGCGTCGCTTCACACTAACTTCCGCTAATTCAATAAACCACCCACATTAAAAACATATTTCCATAAAGCCGTGCCCCCCGAGCGATCCAATCAGCGTTATCTCCCCCGACCCTACTGCAAACACCTCCTAATCAAATCAAATCACAGCCTCCGTCTTGCCTAATCTATCTACCTATCTGCGCTACAACGTAAAATTATATTGCAAAAAGGGATACCTACGTCCCCTCATATATTTGCTAACACAAGCAAAATTTATCCAGCCCGGAAGCAGCCCTCTTACAATACATACCTACACGATTTTGTAGCCGGAAAACACAAAGCTATGCGCTACTCACACAGACACAGTCACATCGCGCGCACACTCCGCCGCCTATCAGCATATCTACACCATCTAGATCCCACTATGAGAACCCCCAAGGGGGAGGCAATCCATTTACCAGGCCCAACACCGCACTGAAAATTTCCTCTTATCCATATAAAGTTAGAGATGACAATCGCGCGGCAAAAGCAATGTTTTTAAAGGTTTACACGGCCCCTAGCAGTGAAAGCGCGGAATCGATGTAGCCTTTACCCCTCGCCCCGCGCCAGTTTTTCCGGCGCTCCGTCCTTATCTGACCGGGGCGATTAGATAAAGAGAGATAGAGCGTGAAAATAAAGATTTTCATCGTGTTCACTCACACCACGATAGTTTCAGCCGTGTAGTAATGTAAATGTAATAGCGGTGTCGTTGTGTGTGTCGTTCACATAAGGACGGGTACGTATAGACGGAAGGGCTCTCGGAATAGAGCGAGGGTCGACAAAACTTTGATGTTGTAGGTTCTTTTGACGGCGCTACCTATTTATTCATAAAGTACATAAACTCCTGGTGGCTTTAGGTGATTAGATGTCTTTTGAAATACTAAGTTATACGTACGAACGTACAAACAGCCAGTAAACATAGTACAGTCAATACTGTGCACTTACAATAACTCCTGCTTTGTAATTGAGTCAAAATATCGGTTTGATATCGTGGTGCAATAACTTTTGTCAATTCTCTAACAATTTGAAGCGACTAGTATGAAAACATTTCATATTCACATTAATAGGTAAGACTAGAGTTAAAAATAACAACAACAGGTTAAATAGTTTTTAATCGTAAATCCTCCATACATACCGTTGAATGTACTTGACGGGCAAGTAATTTCAGTGCACAAATATTGTGTACAGCTATAAAGTAATTTATAAGTTCTCGATTCCCGATCGTGTCTCGGTGGAAGTTTATCACGTCGGTAGACGGGCGCCTGCGAGCATCGTCGAAGCGGTCATAAAAATAAAAGCGGTGCTCGTAATTTTTTAAATTTTCACACGAAGATGCAGCGCCGGGCCGCCCCCGCCCCGCACCGCCCTCCGCCTCCCATTGGCCGTATCCGCGGAAGCCATGTTGGGAAATTCGCTTAACGATTTATTTGTGTGCGGATCGTAGCGCCGACCGGCCGCGTACTCGATTGCCGTGTTACAAGCAGAAATAGGACGCGTGAAACTCATTCGAAACCTATAATTGTCGCGGCCGGTTGTCTATGTAAATTGAGGCTTCACGGAAATATTTATTGGAAAGGCGGCCGGTATTGTCCGCTCGGTGCCTGTTCATGGACCGTCGAATTTTATAAGTCCGTTAGGATAACAAAGCGTGGCGGTTGCCCAATAGGAGCTATCGACTGATAGCGATCGACGCTCGGTCGGATTGACACATCAAACCGCTAGTCGCTC